AATAGATAGCAAATGTGATAGAAAACAAGACTACTCTCAATTTTACTCTAACTATTAATTAGAACTCCAACTAACAACCAAGAAAACTGTGCAAAAGGGAGAAAGATGAACCCTTTATAACCTAATAAGTTAAAGAGTAAAAACACTTCAATAACTTACCGTAACTGTGGCATATATGGCCACAATAAGAAGACTAGTCAAAATGTCACAATGCCATCTCCACCCACATATCAACAACAAATAAAGAACAGAAAGAAAAGTGCATCCAACTTAACCACTATTGAACTAATTGTTGCATGAACTTACCATTGCATTTACTCCACAAATCTCTTTAAAATCAAAATTAAGGATAAAGAGAGCTCTTGTCAAATTGAAGGGAAATGTTGTCCAAAACTTACTGCTAAGTCAAAAGTCTGACTCTATGCAATAAGAAAAGAGGAAATGATGCACTAGACCATAATACTGGAGCTTTTTTTTTCTCTTTTTTAAATGAGAATATTTTAATTTTAGTAGTTTATTCCACATGTAATGATTATTTTTGGGACCACTTTATTGTAATTTATTATTTTTATTTTTGGATATTTTAAGCATTGGTGCTTGTTTTAGTTTGATGTTGGATAACTTGAAAATCTAACTCCAGATCACTTAGTGTATTGTATTGGACAACTAGTTTTAATAATGAAAAACTTTTAGTTATTTTTTATTGTCTTCATTTCAATTCAAAAATTACAAAAGAACCACATCAATATGTAACAATAAACATATAATTCATTCATTAATCATATTAACTAGTAGTTATATAAATACCAAACAATTACATTTCACCTCAAGTAAACTCTCTCCACCCAACAACAACCACTAAACTTATGTCATCAATTATTCTTTCAATCATTTTTGTGGCATATTTACTTCTCAAATGGACACAATGATAACAAATAATATAGATGTTGTTGTCAACCCATTGACAATCAAGGAAGCAATTTGTAGATCTAAATTTTGTTCCTTAAATCAGTAGTCAACCTCTGTTGCCCTTCATTCACTTTCCTTATATAGTGGGATACAGGTTCATCCAACCATTGAATAAAAGAACTTCATACCACTTGCAAGATAAAAAAAAATGTATTTAAATCAATACTTTAGCACCAATCTTAAAGAATATATGCTATGAATACATTATTTTTTCTTACTCATATAGTTTAGACATCTTAAAAAACATTGACCATAATCTTCTTGTGTCCATAATGTATATGTTTGCACTCTACCTCTACATTCAAAAGTAATTATTCTATTCTTATATTTGTACTCAAATAACTTTCTTTAGTATCCATTTCAGCATTATATGCTCTATTGTGACTCATTGTGTTGTAGCACTATCAATAACATGCACTATTGTACATGATAAAATATTTTAGAGTTTTAATAGGTTGAAGATAAAGGTAATTCACAATAGGTGTCTAGTCATTGACTACTATGCAAGTTCAAATTCTTGTGAATTTATATCGTCAACAACAATTAACAATGTTAACAGATTATAAATAATAAGGACTGTTTTATAAATGTTTACTTATATAAGAATCAAATTATAAATTCTTTTAAATATATGGACCAAATTAAAAAGAAAAATATGTTAAATATAAAAATTTAACCTATAATCTATAACTTTTTTTTTAATCATCAAAGTATGGTTGTTTCATAGTTTTTTTTTTAAGGTACAAAAGTAATTATTATTTTGAGTATGAAAGCTATTTTTCTTTAAGTCTTTTAACAAAGTTTAAATGTTTGAAAATATATAGGTCTCTTGACGACAGTTAAACATATTTATCACTTAATATAAAAACCTTATTTCGTTTAATAAATTTATCATTGAACTTTTAAAATAATGAAATTATATATAAATATATAAATTAGAGAGATAAGTAATATAAGAAAAATGGTTGGTGGACACATCTTAAGATAAATATACTTAAAGAGAGATAAAAGAATAAAAAATAAAAAACAGTGATAAATAATATATGGGTTAAGAAAGAAAAAATATATTAAATCACTATTGACATTATTTAAGTGTTTAAAAATAAAAATTAATAATTTAATAAAATTACACCTAAGAGAAAAAAAAATATCGATGAAATATTAAAATTAAACATTAATATTAGGGATGACAATGGGTAGGGTACTATAGTACCCATCCTCATACCCGCGTTTTAAAAATATACTCGTACTCGGTCTCATACCTGCGTTGGTATGAACATTAATTACCGTACCCGTATCCTCTGGGTACCCGCATACCCATCTTGTACCCATTACCCACACTTGTTTAAGAAAAAAATATTTATAAAAAAAATATGTTTATATAATTTCACAAAAGTAACATAATAATACAAAAATTCAATATGTAGTTGCCGAACAAGGTACAAACATAAATAAAAAACAAATATTCAAAGATCATAAATGCTAAATTTATCTTAATATAATAATTTTCTAAACTAAAATTCTTAGAAATAATAAGCGAAACTAAACACACAAGTTATTTGTCAGTGATAACCTTATCTTGTGTGAGATTTGATCGATTGACAATGTTAGAATGACAACGAAATAGATCTGCACAATGGTTGTCCCTTCGTGTGGGATCACTTGGTGACCTCTTGTGACGGCATTGACAACTAACTCTAATGAATAACGTTTCATAGTTATTAGGTTTTAATGAGACAGACATTGATATTGAGAATGATAATAGAGTTAGAGTAGAGAAGTTCAATACTAACAACAAAAAGTGGATACATAAAATATTTTTTTTAACTTTTGAATTTGAAATTGTAAGAAAAATAATAGATTTAATTAAAATAATATATATATATATATATATTAATACTAGTATTTTTAACTCATATACTATATAAAAATATTTTATCAAAAATACAAATTTTTAAAAAATTATTTTAATGAATTAAATATTTATAATGTATATAAATTTTAAAAGAAAAAATTTGAAAAAAAGATAAATGGTCATAATAAAATTTTATAATAAAGAAATATACATGTATATTAAAAAAATTATACTTTTTTATCTGAAAAATATTAACAAATAAAAATTAACAATAATTTTTTATATTTATATCTTTTAAAAACTTCTTTAAACGTGAATAAATAGTAAAAATAATATTATTTAGATTTAATAGATTATAGTTGTACTTGTAATATATATGTTGCATAGAAAAATAGTATTTTAAATTAAAATATAAAAAATAAAATTTAAATATTATTAATAAATAATAAGTTTACGGTAATAGTAGGTGATTGTAAAATTTATAAAATATTTACAATATATTTATTATTTATCATTCACTTTATGATTTAAACATCAATATGATTTTATTAACAAAAATATTTGTGTGAAAAATATTTTATGTGTGTCATATATAAATAATATTTTACAAAAAGTCAATCTCATATTAACTATGTAATAATTAAATTGTATTAGTCTAATTAAATAATATAAAATAGTAAATAAATTTTTCTATTAAAAATATAAACCAAAATAAATTTTTTGGTTTACTTTATTATTAAATATATTTTTATATTAATCTTATATAACTTCACATAAGTAATATAATAATAATAATATAAAAATTTAATGTAGAATTGTAGAATAAAGTTTCAGCATATATATATATATATATATATATATATATATATATATATATATATGGATATGGGGCAGGGTGGATATTTAGATACCCATACCCGCACCCATCCTCATTAAATTTTACGAGTTTTTACCCATACCCATTCTTGTACTCATATAGTGGGTAAATATTCTACCTATTATGGATAAATTTTGTAGGTGTCCATTGAGTACTTTACCAATTGTCATCCTTAATTAATATTTCATTCATAATCACTCAAAAATTAATACTTACTCGAACTCATGAAGTGTGAGGTAAGAAAGTGTCAAACTCTTTTACTTGAAAACGTTAATAATGACAAAGAGCATCTCACACTTATATATTTATCATTTCATCTTTTTCTAGAACTATATATATATATATATATATATATATATATATATAAAAGCAAATAATTATTATAATACATCATAATTTAAATCTTAAGTTGGAATGTCAAAATATGAGCGAAATGAACATGATTCTGCTTGAAATTCTCAAAACATGGAATAATTTCCCTTAATATAGTCAATTACAAACAATTTTTGGTGTTAACAAGATAAAGAGTAATTTTAAGAATTAATTTTCTTATCAAGTATCGTGATTTCTTTCTGATTATATATCTCATTTTATTTTTTATATTTTTCATTTCTCTTAAACGTGATTACTTAAATTTAATGATTCATAATTTAAATTTAAATTTAAAATGTTAACATATCATATTATGTTAATAAATTTAGAGATGATGTTTTAAAAAAAAAGAAAAAAATGGAGATGATGTGTCATGATTCAAATGCATCATTTTTACATATTTATTAAAAATATTATTCCTTTAGTTTATTTTTTCAAATAAAATTATGATTATTGATAATAAATACATCTCTCGTTATATTTGATTATTTCTTACGGAAAATATTTAGTGTAAAAGTGAATAAATATAAACATGTTCTAAGAAGCTTCTGTGGCTGGCATAAATATTACACGGAAGCTGGGTATCCATTAGTAGTGAAAAGCGAAGTGGGAGCAAATATTATTGGAAGTTGCCTTTTTAAAAAGCAAAAAATATATACACATGAATTATAAAAAGATAGAAACCAAATCCACTGATAGAAAAGAAAATGAAAATAATTCTTGCACGTCCATTAAATAGGTGTAGAATGATAAAATAAATAAAAAAATGAATTGATAAAAAGAAATGAAAAGTTGAAAATTACAGATTGTGGACACACGCACACATCTGTTTCCCTGGATACTCGATACTATAAATGCAAACCCCAAGGGGACAATGAGAGCCAAATGGGTCATCTATATAGTTCGTAACGCCTCTCTCAAAGCTCTCATGCATTAGCATTTCTCGTTCTCACCCATTTCCCCCATTTAAAACCATTGCCGTACACCCCATCACCACCTCTCTCTCTCTCATAACAACAACATAAACAACAACTATGGTTGTTCTGTCTCAGCCAGCATTAAACCGTTTCTTCCTCCCCAAACCATGCAAGCCATCCACGACCTTGTTCACAGGGGTTCCAGTGGTTGACCTCTCCGACCCAGATGCCAAGACCCTCATAGTCAAGGCTTGCAAGGAGTTCGGTTTCTTCAAGCTTATAAACCACGGTGTTCCATTCGAGTTCATGACCAATTTGGAAAAGCAAGCCCTTTCCTTCTTCGAAAAACCTCAACCCGAAAAAGACAGAGCAGGTCCCCCTGACCCTTTTGGCTATGGTAGCAAAAGGATTGGCCCAAACGGCGATGTGGGTTGGGTCGAGTATCTCCTTCTTAACACCAACCCTGATGTCATATCCCCCAAGTCTCTTTTCATTTTCCGAGAAAACCCCGAAAACTTCAGGTGAAACAGAGTCCCCTGTTTTTCTCTGTTTTAACAACTCACGAGTGCTAACATTATTTATTCTTTGTTTTGTGTTTGATGTTTTCAGGGTTGCTGTGGAAGAGTATATTAAGGCAGTGAAGAACATGTGCTACGTGGTGTTGGAATTAATGGCCGAGGGATTGGGAATAGCGCAGAGGAATGTGCTGAGTAGGTTGGTGAAAGATGAGAGAAGTGATTCATGCTTTAGACTTAACCATTACCCTCCATGCCCAGAGACTCAAACGTTCAATGGACAAAATTTGGTTGGGTTTGGGGAGCACACAGACCCACAGATAATTTCTGTCCTAAGATCTAACAGCACATCAGGCCTGCAAATCTGCCTCACAGATGGCACTTGGGTTTCAGTCCCACCTGATCACACTTCCTTTTTCATCAATGTTGGTGACACACTACAGGTACCATTAATGCCTTTGGGCAAACACCTTAACAATTAAGTCCCTTCATCTCATCAACTTCACCCTGTAGTTCTTTTAAAATATCATTTTAATTTGTTTCTCGCACACATACACAAAAGGGTCTCCTACTTATTCCGCAAGTTAAAGTACTGGTTAAAAAATTATTGTTAAAATATATTAAAAGTTATAACAAAAGTATATTAATAATATTTTTATTAGTGTCATTAAAACACTGATTAATATTTATCTTAAAATAAATAAAGGGATTTACAGATATTACAAGTCATTTTAATTGCTCAAAATGAATTTCACAAACAATTTTTTAAACACCCCTTGATAACAATTCAGATGAAAGAAAAAATAAATCATTTTTGATGAATAAGAATCAATCCCCTTCCACTTTTTCTTTCTGTAATTTCATGAATTTTTTTTCACCTCAACTGTTTTAATCTCTCAAAGTGACGTGTCACTAAGAGATTCACTTATCCATGGTAAAGAAAAGACATTCCGACAAACATTTTCATATGGGTCTTTTTATTTTGGGAGTCACAAGTGGTATTTTGTATATATATATTTATATATTTAATTAGGGGTGGGTCTATTTTGTATTGTTTGAAAATCTTCTAATCTGGGTGTGGGCTGAAACGGATGCAGGTAATGACTAATGGGAGGTTTAAAAGTGTAAAGCACAGGGTTTTGGCTGACACAAGCAAGTCAAGGTTGTCAATGATATACTTTGGAGGACCACCCTTAAGTGAAAAGATAGCACCTTTACCTTCACTAATGTTAAAAGAAGAGGAGAGTTTGTACAAAGAGTTCACATGGTGGGAGTACAAGAAGGCTGCGTACAATTCAAGGCTGGCTGATAATAGGCTTGGCCCTTTTGAGAAATATGCTGGCTAATGTGCCCAAGAAGAGCGTGTCAAAATTCTACTGCATTTTGGCAAATGTTATTAGGGCCCTTTTTGTGTGTGTGTGTGTGTGTACTCTCTAGGTTTCAAACAGTTGACTCGACATATATAGAAAATGAATAGGTTGTTTATCATGTTCTTCTTTCTTTTATCTTTCTTCTTTTTCTAGTTTGATTGAAATGTAACAGTCACTGCTTCCACCCCTTCTATGGTCAATGCAATGCAACTTTAGTCAAATCTTATTGCCTCACGCGTTTTAATTTTCTTTTCTTTTTCTGATTTCTTTTGTCGTGTTTTATATGGAGGATTTAGGACGATGAACATGGGAAATCACTCGTTCTTCTCTCCGATATTAGCTGAATTTTCAAATTAAAGGCTTTATTTTTTGGGTCCTAGCTTCAATTTAAAACCATTGGTGACAGTGGAATACCAGGTAAGCTGAATACTGATAAAGCCGACCAAATATTACAACCCTGTATTTATTAGTTACGATTAATGTTTTATTTATTTAAACCGTTTGTTTAAAATTAAGTAAAATAATTTTTAATTAAATTTATTTTACTATTGAATTTTTCATTCATATGTGTTTTACAGTAAGATAAATTAACTTTAAGAGATAACTAAACAAGTAGTTATCCTGTTAAGTAAATAGAAAAGAAAAATTAATGTTTGCATATTATAATACATATAAAAATCAGCATCTCACGAATTATTAACTATTAATCCCGTGCTGCTAAAATTGTTTACCCGAATTGATTATTTGAACTTTTCGTGACAAATGATTATTAGATTTTTCTTTCATGATAGAATTGCAGTGTTTGAGTAAATGCCACTGCTTTTGGTTGAATGTAAATCTCTCTTTATCTTAGTATTAGTAGTGCTGACTCACATTCACTTAGTTATCTATAGTGCAAAGGGCAATTTGCGCTATAAACTCGTATATATATATATATATATATATATATATATATATATATATATATATATATATATATATATATATATATATACACATACATATATATTATCTAATTAAAATGTCAAGCATTATTTACAAATATAGATACCAATTTAGAATACATTAGCAAGTATTACGCATAATTGTAAATACAAACAAAATATAAAGACTATTTAAGAACGTTATTTTATTAATTAAAATATAAAAAACTCACATGTTTGAAAATTTTAAAATTATATAAATTAATATAAAGGACATAAAATATAAATTAAACGTAGTCTCTTATAAGTCATAACCATTATTGTCAAATGCTTAGTAGCTTTCATTTTAATTATTCAATTTTTTTATTTGTCACTTTTAGGATTAATTTTAAGTATGTAAAAATAATAAACTTGTATTTAAAAATAATATATAATACATTTTTATATGTTCGATATAATTAATGTTTATTTTTATGCAAATTATTATATTTAATTGCTTAAATTTAACTTCAAATATTGAAGTTAATATTTTAAAATTATTTCAATGTTTAAAATTTTCCATGATAAAATATTTATATCATCAAAATTATGATAATATGAAGGTTAAATAGGTACCAACTGCTTAATTCTCACTCTTAACTATAAAAACGTTTTAACTTAATGAAAAATAAGTTACCCTTTAATAAGTGGTTTTTAGTTTGCACATTTTAAGTTTTGGTATACTGGTGTAACATATATATAGTTAAAGCCATTTGATATATTAATTAAATTGTAGAGGGTTCAGATCAAATTCTTACCACAAAAGATGATAATTTTTATAAAAGCCTCATGCTCAAAATGAAAATTATCTTACTTACATATTAAAATTCCCCTCTTCCTTTTTACTACCACGCTACTTACACTCACGTCTCACACAAACTCTTGTCCTTTATATTCTTCTTCTTTGTTCTGTTCGCTTTTTTATTTTCCAGCTTTTAGCATTTTAGGATTGGTATAGTAATTATATACATATTTAACGAAATAGATAATGCAGTGATATCTAAACTTCACTTATTGCCGTGTAAACTTATGTTTTGTTTAAAAAGATAAAGGGAGAATATAAAGAAAAAAAGAAAAAAAAATGAGAATTTTCTTTTAGTTTGTTCGATTGGAGGAAAAGTAAAAGAAAAGAAAGATGTATTTTTTGGGTCGATTATAATGGTTAAAGAATAATATATTTATAAATATCTTAAAGTAATACAAATATTTTTGAATGAAATTTAATTTATATAAAGAGATTTTTATATTTTTATCTTATTATAAAAAAAACATCGTAATAAAATCATCATTAAATATTTAAGACATTCGATGTTTACATTTTTAAAATTTAAATTTAATTTATTGTCAATATAATTTTTTTTATGTTATTAATTAATTAGAATACATTATAAATGTAATTTATATTAATTATTTATAAAATCAACGATTATTTTATATAGTAATGTATGAGGAAATATAAATGTGTAATTTATACTATTAATTTATTTAAATTAAATTTATATTTCTAAATGTTAGAATTCAAATAATTAATAAAAAAAGTATATATTCTAAGAGAGAAATATCAGCAACATATTATAATTGATATTTTTAATTCAAAGTACAATAATTTATTTTCAAGAAAATATTATATATATTCTTCATGTCCAATCCTTCCCTTTTAATGATGATAAAAGATATGTTTTATTTTATTTTTGTTTGACTTGATCTTTCCTTTCCTCTTTCTGAGAAAGAAACAAAGGGCGTGTTTGGCATGATCAACTCTACCAACAAGTAAGCTCACAAAGCTTTCAACATCTTCCATTTGGCCATGACAACGGGTGCAACCTACCTCTGTATAGTAGTCTTCCGTTGCTAGTGTTCTTTGCCCTTTAGCCCCAGTTTCGATTGGAATACATCATGTCACCACCCAACCTACATTACGACCAACCTATTGACTAACTAACATAGTTTCATATTTCTCATTTAAAACAAATACTAATAATCACTTATTTCCTGAGATATAAACATCCCAAGTAATATATGCCAATATGTTATTAAATTTATAATATTTCATAATCTATCCAAAATTCATCTAAATCATTACCCATATAATTAAAAAGTTGCTACTAAAACAAAGTGAAAAGTGAATTAAATTGGGAAATTTGAACCTGATTAGTTTAGAATGGATTTATGAAAAGTGAATTAGATCCTATCAGCATGAGTGCATTGATTGATGAGCATCTACATATCGACGATCTCTCCCATAATGTGGCCTGAGCTGATGGTGATATATATTACGGTGATGACAGGGATGCATGAAAACAAGGCACACATAATTGCATTTGGGATATCTCGATGAACAAACATGACTATGGTGGTGGCTACGATAAAACTGTAATAACAGCATGAATCGTTTCACGGTAATGGGGCATTCATAATATTCTCACTTCTGACAGTGTTCTGGTGGAGTTTCACATGTTGCTGCGGTTTCTTCTTTCAAGATTCTCTTGTCAATTTTTGCAGCCTTTGTTGTGTTCACTTCTATTTTTGTTGTTTTTTGTTTCTTGTTATCCTTTTTATCATATCTGTTTATATATATTCACCCTCGACTTCACCATTTTCATGGGGTGGGTTTCTTTTCTGTTTTTTAATAATTGTTCTTAATGCATAATTTTATTACATACACAAACTATCTTGTTCAATTAATTATTTTTCCTGTTCAATTATCGAAATTATTCCAATTATCTTAAATATTTATTTAATATTAAATATATTTTTGTATGACGTCAAAGAAGTTAATAGTTTTTAATTTTATTATATAATGATTTAAGCATTTGTATTGACATTCATGTTTTAAGAAATTTAAATTTATTACTTTTATCATTTAATTCTTTAAAAATTGATCTTAGGGAATTAGCTTCGATCTATCTTTATTATTTTCCTGTAATACCAGATCAATTCCTACTTCAGCACAATGCTTGTTGTATTAACCAACTAAAAGCTCAAAATAAAATTGAAACAACTAAACATGGACTTTAATGTATGTATGCATCTGATGAAGCATTTTGGTCATATAATAAGTTGTCAACGAATTTTTAGTAATTGTTTTTTAAAATTTTGAAGATATAAAGTTATAAATTGATTGCTCTTAAGCTGTTTTATTTTTTAAAAATATTTAATCATTTAGATGATTTGAAATTGATGTAGATTTAAATTTTATTTATAAAAAAATTAATTTTAGTGCATCATTAGAGTAAACTTTTTTTTATATTATGAACTAATTAAAATACATTTCAAATATAATATTTATATTAATTATTACAAAAATTAATAATTCTTTTTTATATAGCAATTTATGGACAGTTGACGCTTTAACAAATTTTTACACTTTAATGTATTTTAATTAAATTTTTTATAAAATATGAAAAAATTTAGTAAGATTTTTTTTTGTTTATTCTTTAAATAAAAAGAAAATAATTGGCTAATAACTAACAACTTCATTAAGTGCATCGTAAAAAAAAATATGTAAAACTTTTTACCATCATTTAATCATGAATATTATATATATATATCAGCAAGAACATTTTATTTTCATGATAATTAATTTATTAATTTAACAATAATACTTAAAATATATTTTAATTGATTAGCGATAAAAGTATATCAAAATTAAATATATTTTTTAAATATAAGTGTTTTAATTATCAAATAATTAGAAAAACAGTGTTGATATTTATGATAAATTATGAAAAAGCATTTATAAAATAAACATGTAACATGCATGCTTAAATTTGAAATGGGAAAACTGGTTGAGCGTGAGTTTGAGTGCGCAGATGACAGAAGATATCTATCTTTAGATGGTATCTTATTAAAGTTTCGTCGTTTTACTTTTTGCTTTTTAATTTCTACGGTTTCCTTCGAGTGGAGCAGCGATTGTTGATTTCTTTTTCTTCTGTACACAATATGAAAATAAACTCGTGCTTTCGCAGCCAACTCAAGAGAAGCTTCTAACAAACACACACCTCAAAAGCGTGTTACCAAAGAAAAAAGAATAATGTAAACCATTCTTAATCCATAAATTAAACTTTGATTATTTCGAATCAATACTGTAAATCATATTCTAATCAATCACAGTGTTATGCATTTACAATATTATTATTATCTAAAGAATATCCTATTTCAAATCTCTACATAAGTTTTAGATTCTTACATTTTTATCTTTAGTGTCAAATATGATTA